AGTAGCTGCTGTACGAGCTACGAGAAGGTCGCAACGGTACCCCTTCGCGCTCTTCAATTGACGACTTTACCAACCTGCGTATCTATGGGGATGGTCTATTCAAAAATATCTTTCTAGCTGCAACCGTCACCTTGTGCGCCGAGTTTCTACTGCAACTCCGCGAAGACTCGTCACCAGCCGCATCATCCTTGTCGAGGCAGGAGCTTCTCCATGTAATAGAAGTCTCCGGCTCCCTCACGCGTCGCCGCATCCTCAGAGGAGAGACCAGTGTGAAAGCACATGTCTTTCTCGCCTGCGTGCTAGCTACAATCAGGGCATCGAGGCGCCGGTCAGTTTCGACGCGCAAGCAACAGGCCGACCAGGTCGTGGCGGATGCGGCCAGGCAAGCGCTTGACGGTTGCTATAATGTGTTAAAGGCTCGATTACAACGCTTGACTCTTGAAAAAAGCCGGGGCCCAAGTTCCGATCTCCCTGCGAAACACATGGCCGAGGCCAACGATTTACCTTCTGGCGACGCAGAGAAAGATGATGGGATTCAAGGACTTGTCGCAGTGCCTGAGCGTGAACAGGCGAGTGACACCGGTCAACTGTTGGATGATTGTTCGGACGTTTGGTCGGTTTCGGCTTGGGAAAATGAGATGACCTTTTGAATGATATTCTAGCGCCTTGTAAAATTACAAATGATGTCCATGGATATAAAGTATTCACGAGCAATGATAATTTCTTTTTTTTTTTTTTTTTTTAGAACACACCAGGTTTTTGAAGCTCTGCTTCATCATTTTACTATGCATTGCAGGATTGTCTCTCACTACTTCGTAGAGAATATATTATATATCCATGCCAGCCCAGCGGGATGCTGTTGACTTGTTTCTATCTCCAAAATCCTCAAATCTCCTGGACTTAGACACTAGACAGCTCGTAAAGGCAGATCGAAGCAGCAGAATCAGGGAGTCTCCACTCTTCCTATTGCCGTGAAGCTCACATACACCCCAATCGCAAATAAACTACCCAGAAAGCCAGCAAGGTATACCAAGGGACTATTGGAAATTCCAGATGCGCGCCTTGCAGTGGTTTCAGCAGTTAAAGGCCGAGATGGTGCAGGTTTTGGTGCCAATGTTGTGTCGCCATCCTAAACATATACGAATTGTATCCGGGATGTATATTTAGCTACGGTCAACCTGGGAAATGAAAGAAAGAGAAAGAAAAAAAAAGAAATGACAAATGAGCCGCCTGTGCTGAAGGAACAAATTCACCTGTTGTTCAAGGGTCCCGACCAGCAAGGGCTCCAGGGCCTCCCGCGCTTCATCACTGTGTCCCACGTCGTCAAACTCGGCGCTGGCGTCTTGGCCTGCTTTATCGAGTATGACATCCTCACCACCACTGCGCAAAAGGTATCTGGTCAGTTGAGACGGGCCCAGAGGCAAATAGACGGAAATCAGGGTGCACGCACGGGTGTTCGTCTAGAAACTTGGTCACATCATACACTTTGCCATGAAGCGCGAGCCAAACATCGTCCTTTGTCTTGTGCCGGGCGACATCTCGGAGTGTGAAAGTGCGTGACATGATCAAACACTCAGAGCAAATGCAATGGGAGGGAGATGGCGAAAGGGACAAGGTAGACTATTGTTAACATCTGGTATAGCCCTATGGTTGAACCCTTGATCTGAAGATAAGTGAGCAAAGCAGGCTGCTCTTGCAGGTGCTGTGCTTCATGGATCTCCGTCGGGGTTAATGACCCTCGGGGAGATGAGGGGTGTTCCCCGGTGACTTCGGAGTGCCAACTTTGCGGCTGATAATGAGCGGAGAAGCAGCATTGCCTTGCATTGAGCAATGTCCACCGTATCCGATATCCATGATAGAGCCTCTATTGAGGTCAATCAACCATAAGTTGACATTGGTCTTCAGACTCGAGTTCGGCCTCATTCATACCTACCTACAGCGGAATGCGGAATGACTTTGATCCGATACCATGACCGTATTACCTAATACAAAGAGTGTGCTTAATAACTAAGAGGTGGCAAACAGAGTAAACAGCTTTCAGCCAATCAACTTGTGAATTAACTAGCTCTAATTTGGTGCTGATTATCTAATACGAACGACGCCCCATCTTCAACGAGCAACAACGACATCCATCCTGCAAAGCCCCAGAGAAGAACTGCTTTCGCTAGACGGGCGTAACAGCAATCTTGACGCCGTTGGTATTGACCGGGCCCGCTCGCATGACCGGAACGTAGCCCTTGCTATCGCGGTTTTCAATGGCCTTGAACCTTCGGCAAAATCGCGCAACTACATAGCTGGCTTCGGTCGTGACCAACAGCTGCGCAGGGCATCGCCGGGGACCACCACCGAATGGAACAAAGTTCCAGTATGGACGCAGTCCAAACCATCTCTCCGGTCTGAACTCGTCTGCATCTTCGCCCCACACGTCTTTGTCGCGGTGCATGACGTTCTTGTTGACCTGGACCACGTCGCCTTTCCTAACATAGATGGGCGATTGGCCGTCTGGACCGCCACCGAGCGGAAGCGTCGTGTCTTTGATGCAGTATCGAACCTGCATGATACCATTTGGATATAGCCGGTGGGCTATATCATATTGGTTAGCTCTTTGTCATCAGTGAATAGGGGGTAGTCTTACTCTCGTTGAGCACCGCGTCGAGGTATTTCATAGCCCTCAAGGCTTCATATGTCAGCGGTGCGTTCTCACCAATGGAAAGCACTTCCTCTCGGACTTTGGCGTAAACCTCAGGATAGCGGGCAAGATTCCAGAAGACATTGCTAATGAAGATCGAGGTTGTGTCGTTGTTTGGAACAAAAAGGAGCAGCATCTCTGATCGCAGCCGCTCCCGGTCTTCAGGCACATTTCCAACCATTGACCAAAGAAGATCTGTCCTTTCGGGCTTCAGCTCGACCCCAAATGAGGATTGCTTCTGACCCTTTGCAGCGTCTGCCCTCTCGCTGTAGGCCCTGTCAACTTGGCGGTCGATGAAATCGTGAACAACGTCAATCGCACTGAACCAGACCTTCCACCGGAACAACCAAAGCCATTTGCTCATTTGCAGGCGTAGGCGCAGCCCCCGCAGAATATCGGTCATAGCCCAAGCAATCTCTGCTCTTTCAGGGTACAGGAGACAGCCCATGGACTCGCCAAAAAGGAAATTGGTCGATGTATCAAGGAACTATAAGCAAGAGTTAGCGTCATCCTTTGCCGCAATCGAGGAAAGTAGACGAACCCATCGTTGCATCAGGGTCTGCATGTCAAAGGTAGAACCGTCCTGAGGGATCAGACTCAGGAGATTATCGGTGTGCACCTTTAGACGATCGGTGTTGGAGAAGGCTTCACGCAGGAAATAAGGCTTGATCAAGAACCTGCTGAATGCCCAATCATGGCCGTCCGTGGTATTGACTCCCTTGTCTGCAAAGGGCATACTTGCCCCCGTACTGCGCCGCAAAGGTTCCACACCAAAGTCCTTCCAGACGGTTGCCGATAGAGCTTTCATGTTCTCCGGCTCGATGGTATGGATCATATGCCTACCAAGGAAGTCGATGCTAAACGTCTTGGCTTTTCCTGGAATCGTGTCATGCAACATTCGGAGCCATAGGAGGAAAGTGTGGTTTCGCAAAGATTTAGCCATGGAGAAAGCGATGTCAAATCCCATGATGGGAATTAACTGCGGGTAACGTGGTACGCTGCCATATCCCTTTCGCCGTTCCGCTAATGATCGGCTGATGCTCGACGTCGCTGATTTAGTGATGACGAAGAAGAATATGAAGTAAAACAAGTACGACCATTTAGGGACCATGTCAAATGTCACATCTGGGAGCTCGAAAACCCATCGCGTGAAACCCATCTTGATGAGCTTACTCGCTCGGAGACACAGTGCTAAACAGAGAGCCAAAAATATCACCAGTCGTAACTCTACTGGCACCTAGTTGCTCGTGAGTTCGGATCCATCAGCTTATGAGGCATTTCAATACGCACAACGTTCAATCCGTGACCTACTGAGCGGCGGTTTCAAATATGTTATTCTCTGGGTCAGAGGCCAACGTTGGCGCATTAACGCCGACGGGCGGGGAGAAAACGTTATCTCCGTTGACTTGCACCAATATCCATACTTGATTCAGGATACGGTGCGGAAACATGGGCGGGAATGCTTTGCTTCCCCAGTCCTTCTCATATACGCCCTCCGTGATTTCAGCCTCACCTCAAGCTTATCCTCCCAGCGAACACTTCTGTGTATATGTCTGATTCTAGAGCCACACCGGGGACCCCGTCGGCCGCATAGCTCCCGCAAAGGTTTCTTTCCACGCCTACTGACATTTTGGTTATTATTCCTAGTCTTTCGAGATGAGCTTCGTGGATCACACTTGGGTCCCGATATTGCGGTCTCTCAGCAGCTCTGAGCGGACCAGCTACGTTTCTCCTACTTCTGTTCTGGCTTACGCCCTTGGGGTCTTGGCCATTGCCATTTTTGTGCGTCGTAATGGCAATGTGAGTTGTGTGATTCCGCCCAGAGGCCATACATCCAGAGGCTATATTGAGGAAACAAGGATGTTATGGTAGAAGAATTTGCTTTACTGACGCCCTTGCTTTGTAGAAGATCAAATGTTTTGACATGGACGGGGTGCCGATGAAAGAATTAAATGTTGGAGGAACATCCAAAGCAGCCATTGTTTTCCTGCCGTGAGTGTTGGAGGTTTACAAGTAGTGAGCCTGAAATCCCGGCTAACAAGAGAACCTTCCTGGCAGGCTTCAGACATCAAAACAAGGAGAGGACCTAGCCCATGACGAGCCGTATATCCTTCGGAATGGAAAGCATCGCGAGGTAGTTATACACACGGCGGAGCATGTTCGCGAATTTCTTCGCAACGACTCAAAAGGTTTGTTGTCTTCTATGTTTAGGGAAGCCAAGCTAACTTTTCAAAGATCATTTCAGGCCCACCGATTTGAACTTTGGGGATTACTTCTACCAGTATGTCGGCTCCTACTTCCTTCAAAAAACGAGCTTTGCCATTAACTTTTGCTCAACGAAAGGGTACTTGGACAATGCGTCGGCGCACTCAGTGGAGAGCCGTGGCGAGCTGTGCGTCGCTACTTTGACCCGGCTTACACGCATAACGCCGGTCTCGGTTTAATCCCTTCATTCCAAGCCGAAGTTGTGAAGTGGTTGACCGCTCTAAAAAACGACTCACTTCGGTCGGGTGTAGGAAGGATGGTTGTGCATGCTCCTACTTCTTGCAAACTGCTGCCATTGCGTGTCATACCATTGAGCTTCTATGGCGAAGCATTCGACGATGAAGTGAGTTGTTTATAGCCATTGCATATCACTGTTTTGAGCTAAAACAGTGCTAGGCCTACTCACATCTCCTCCGTATCAGCAAGTTGCAAGGTCAGGCGTTGAAGTACGCAGTGACCGGCCGGTGGCAGAAATATCGGTGGTATAACTTGCTTCCAACCTCTTCGAGCCAGGTCCTGGAGCAGTATCATCGAGATTGGAGAAAGTTCAACATGGGTATTCTGGAGACTGCGCGGAATGTAAGAGAACCCTGATACGGGAGCACTGGCCGTGCTGACACGATTCGCAGAAGGGGTTAGAAATACCCGCTGATCATGTATTCAAAGGGGTTGAAAAGGACAGCGCCATCTCCATGGAACAGGTGCGGTCTCTGCTCTATCCGGACGCTTTACAGCATCCTAATTTCTTCTTTTTCAGTATCTCCAAACCATCGATGAGATGATATTCACCAACATCGACATCACCGGTAACGTAATCGCATTCATGTTCACGCAACTAGCCAAGCATCCCGAGTTCCAGCAAAAGCTCTATGAAGAGATAATTGCCCAAAAATGCGAGTCAGAGCTCGACTTGAAACAATATATAACCCAGCAGTCGACGCTCCTGCATTACCTGTGCCTTGAAAGTGTCCGCCTGCACCCGGCTATCTGTAAGCTCCCTTTTCAAAACATTTTAACAAAGTCAGATTCACTCAACGTCATTGATTTCAGGGTTCTCGGTCCCAGAATACACCGCCATTGACAAGGTGATTGGCCGCTACAAAATCCCGGCGCAGACTCCGGTCATCATCGATGTTCGCCGGCTCAACACCAATGCACTCACATGGGGCCCAGACGGCGGCGAATTCCGACCTGAGCGATTTGCAAGCCTCTCACCCAATGAATACCGCTATGGATTTATGCGCTTTGGAGTTGTCTCGGGAAGGTGTCTGGGCAAGCATATGGCAGATGTGCTAATGAAGATAGCAATAATCACAATATTGAAACAGTACAGGATTGAAGAGGTGGAGAAGAACATTGGAGTCAAGGAGGGTGATTTGGCTTTTATCCAGCGAAAGTAGGCTAGCTATATAATGCGACAATATACCAACATTGAGTATCTTTCAAGAAGCACAGTCACAAACCAGATGATCAGGAAGAGAGAGAGTTGAGTATGATAACAACTGGTCTACCAAAATAACTGTTGGTTGTTGAAGTAGAAATATAACACTCAATATCAGGCCGAGAAAGTCAGCAAGGATGAGTCCGCATGGAGCCAGATCAGCACTCAGTAGGCAGCTGTCAGGCAGACAACACCGGGAGCAAGGTCAGTCGCGTATGTTATGACCGCATTTGGAACCCCATCATTCAACTAGTCATTATATATTCAAGGTACAACTTCAGCTTTGACAGCCCTCCCATTGCTAACTACTCGCCCAGCTCTGACTATGAATGCCCTGCCGCCGCCACACATTCTCGCTGCATTTGGCCTGCGTGGCACTCCCCAGCGACTACCCGGGGGCCAAGGGCAGAGCTACCAAGTTGGCGATGCCGTCCTAAAACCCGTCGATGGAGAAGAAGAAGAAGCCGAATACATCAGCCGGCTTCAGGAGGTCCTACTCAGGCAGAAGAAAACCCCCGGATATCGACTTGCAGAGCCCATTCCCGCCACCACAGCCAGTGAGAAAGGCTACGGATACGTTGTTGACGGATGGGGTGCCACGAGACTCATACCCGATTGCGCTGATGATCCGGACGGGCGTGGCAGGCGGTGGAATGGCATCCTGCATGCTGGCCGAGAGTTCCATGCGGACCTCGTGGCTGCTGTACACAAGCGACCTGCCTTTATCGCAGCCCGGACCCATCGGTGGGCAAAAGGCGACCGGATCGCATGGTCTGAGGAGCCGAAAGACAACATACAGATTGCGCCACGGTTTCGGGGCTCGTTTGATCGCCTAGTGCAGCTTCAAAGGCCCGTTGACGCTGACAGTCTGCATTGTCAGCTTGTCCATGGCGATTTAGCAGGCAATGTCCTTTTCTCTAAATCTGATCCGCGTGCTACGCCGGCGATTATTGATCTATCACTTTACTGGCGGCCTGTTGAGTATTCAGAAGCCATTGTCATTGCAGATGGGTTGATTTGGCATGGTGAGGGAGAAGATCTGGTGCATTTGCTGGGAACTGAGGAGTTCCAGTTGCAGATGCTTGTGAGAGCATTGATTTTTCGGATAGTTGCTTCGAGCGAAGCTATCAGAGAGGCAGATTGTGCGCTTGATGGCCTGCTGGATGAGCCCAAGTTGTTTGAGAGGGCTGTTGGTATTGTCGATCGGTTTCTACACTCGTTGGAGACTTGACAATAAGAAACTCAATCGATTTTACACGCCATCTGGAAGTAAGCTGGTTATCATCGGCAATACTCAAGCCTCACTTCGTCCTTGAAGGCTGAAGCAACCTCTGCGACAAATCTCCTCCACCATGGGGAAGAGTGTGCGCAGGAATCCACTCTGAGTAAGGCCTATTGTTGGGGGGCAACCACCTGAGAAAGAGAGGTGGCAGGTTGGAATCCTGCTGTTCCCAAATGATCTTTTATCATAGAGAATTCCCTTCTTGAGAACTAGAGTGCAATTCATGAGCAAAGTATTGGTGGTATAGACCAGGATGCATGGAGAAAGGAGGCGACAGGCCCACTAGTTATATAGTTACAGACGTGCCACTGTGTCTGATCTGATCTTGGATGCTTCTTTGTCAGCTGTCGCTTATCTGTTTTACTAGAGTTTGACACACAAATCTGATAGAAGCTCTAGATAGATGGCCTCAATGCCAGATCATTCACTGTTGAAAAAACAAGTTCTACTATCCAGCACTCCGAGATTGGAGACATAGACTTTTCGTCTGACAGCTACGAGCCCGGGCTCTTTCGGATTCGCTAGTTATTATTTCATTCAAAGTCCCCAACCTCTACTCGGAATTACCCGTATTCTCATCTAAGAGATATTCCGTGGATCGGTTGCCAATTCGCCGTATCCGACGAATTCGAATCCCTATTCCCAACGATTCTCAAAGTAGCCGAACGAACATACGATTCAAATAAACGAAAAGATGAATCGCACTATATTGAAATCCCACAAGGATTGGCCCGACTGGCTATTCGAAGTCAAAATACAGGCACAGTCCCATGATATTTGGGAATATATGGATCCAAGTCGAGAGCCAGAGACCCTTAAAGAGCCGGCTTTGACTGATGAAGAATGCCTCGATCCCATGACTATTCTTAGATGGAAAATGGCTCTGAGGGATTTCGACGCGAAAAAGAAGGCCCTGAGAGAAATGATCGAATACATGCAAGAGCGAATCTCATCGAATCTCTACGGGTGTGTGTATGACAAGTCAAGTCCTAGAGAATGGCTTGTTGCCTTGCAGCACACATGCTCCCAATCCCTTTTGGAGCAGGCAAGAGATGTGGATAACGAATATGCGAATCTCCGCAAAAGTCCGACGCGAGCAAATGTCACGGATTTCATTCATAGGTGGTATATAGTTTCTGACGAGATGCGCAAGCCTGATATGGTCAACAACATGATGGTATGGAGGTTCCTGGATTCAATTCGGAAGCTCAACCCTGAGTTTTCAGATTGCACGTTGATGCGAATCATAGATAGAGAGCTGGAGGAAAAGAACCGCTAAAAATTGAAGAAGTTGTGGGACATTACCGCATATATAGGCAATCTAGGCCTGACCGGCCTGATTCGAGTCTCCACGACCCTGATGGCGGATTCGAACAAGGATTCAAAGGCAAAGGAGGTCCGAAATGCGTATGCGGAGAAACCCACCGGTTTTGCGAATGCGTCTATTGGAATCCCGATATCCGCCCGTTGGGTTGGACTGAGGATCCCGAAATTGCTGCAAAAATGGAACAACAGAAGAAAAATCCACGTCTGCTTGCAGCTCATAAGAAATCTATTGCGTGGTGGAAAAAGCAGCAAAATATGGGATGAGGATGAGGAAGATCCCACGCAAACTCGAGTGTGGATGCTATAAACCGCCCAACGTCTGACAGCAGCTTTCCCATGGCGTTTTAGCAGACAACGTCCTGTTCTCCAAATCTAATCTGCGCGCTGACGATTATTGATCTCTCGCTTTACTCGCGGCCTGTTGAATATTCAGACGCCATTGTCGTTTCGATGTGTAGGTCGAGCATGAAAGAAGATCTGGTGCATTTGGGAACTGGGTTGCAAATGCTTGTGAGAGCATTGATATTTCGGATAGTTGCTTCGAGTGACGCTATCAGAGAGGCAGATGGTCCGCTTGGTGGCCGTTGGTATTGTCAATCGGCTTTTACACCCGTCGGAGCTCTATCTAGAAGTAATAATTAGTTAAAAAATCAGTTCATCCTCGAGCCTCGCTTCGTCCCTCGACAATTGCCAAAGGCTCAAGCAAACTCCGCGACAAACCTCAACCACGCTGAATCCCGTCTGTTGTCTGCACAACGCCATGGCTACACGCAGCATATGCCGATTGGACGAGCGTTTCCCAATGCAAACATCCGAGAAAAAAGTGGCGTTGTGAGCTCGTCTCAATCTGACTGCTCTGCAGGCGATCGGCCGCTAGCTATCAGCGTCGATCCGCTCTGGATCAATTGCAGCTCTGCACCCCCGGCGGTATCAAAGTCAAAGTGACGGCTTCCAGCCAGCCCATGAGGTACGTGGCTGGATTTGTTGAGTGAAAAAAAGGTGGACAGCCTCCTGGCTATGGATTTAAAAGGAGCGGGTGAGGTCCGAACTGGACGTAGGATTGTGAGAAACTGGAGCCCCTTGGACAATCTCAGTAAGAGAATCCGGAATCATGTTCGTTACGAGGATTTTCTTTCTCTGCGTTCTGCAATTCGTTGCAGTGGTTCTCGCTGTTGATCCTGAGGCTGTCTACAATGGAGGATTCTCTTCCAAAACCTCGCCCATAAAGTTGAAGATTGGCAATGGAGGAGCAGGGCAAAGCGGTCTGGTAGAGGGTATGCTTTCCCCATTTTACTGCTCTCTAGAGTAAAGCCCCAAACTGACAAGCCTGCTCTAGCTCTCGCCAATGCTTTCATCAAACACAAGGTGGAGGGCAAATCAGACCCGTTCAAAGTCGCTTGGTACAAGAGCGACACCACTGTGTCCATCAACTATCTTGAAGACGGCATCATCGATGTTGGCATCACCTACAGCCCCGTGGCCGAGAACGTCTCAATCGAGCAAGGAATCTCCGAGTCGCCGAGCTACTATGCATTCCGAGATCATTTCATGCTCATAGGACCCCCCTCGAACCCGGCAAATCTCAAAAAGAGTAGTGGAATCAGCAGTATGTTTGCTCAGATGCACGCCGCTGCCGAGGCCGCAAAGTCTGAACTGCCCGTTCGATTTCTGAGCCGTTATGATAAATCGGCCACGAATATCAAGGAGGCGGCGCTGTGGATTAGTATTGGACAGGTGCGTGCCTAGTCAGACAAGATATACCTGACATCTATGCATATGGTCAGCTAACACACCTCACAGGTGCCTTGGGCGACCGCTTACTCCACCTGGTATCACCAGTACATCAACTTTCCCATCCAAGCTCTCACCGCCGCTATTCTGCTCAAGGAGTACACCATCACCGATTTTGGCACATATCTCTCCATCCCGCGTGCCCTCCGGGACCAAATGGTCATCTATAAGAAGAGTACCGACGACGCGGACGATCCGTTGCTGAATCCTGCCCACCTGTTGATCGGCAAACGGGCGGAAAATGGTGACATGGCAAAGGAATTTGCCAAATGGTTGGTTAGCAAGGATGGCGGACAGGAGGTTATTGTGAATTTCAAAAAGGAAGGTCAGCAGCTATATAGCCCGGCTCCTTAGGACAATCTGATTGCCTACAAAGCCGGTGTCCACCTTTGTCAAAATATGGAGGTTATCCTGTAGCTTTTAGAGAAACGGGAATCTCATTTAGCTAGCTATATACCTATATACAAAAAATGCACTCCCAATCACTAAACAAAATAGCATATTTCTAAATGTTCTTGGTCTAGGTTGCGGTACCAAAAAAACCAATTAGACATTGGACATTGTATCCGGTTGTCCGTGGGCAGTATTGTTGAAAGAAAAGATATCTTCCCCTGCCGGAAAAGCCAAGTCAAAGTTGACTACCAGACTGTATCAACCCATCAATTCAAAGATCGAAGGGATTTCCTACAATCCCACCATCTTCGCGTCAGGCTCTCGAGGGGGCATCGTGATGCCGTGCATGCCCTTATAATTGGACGGTTCCGGCGACTTCCATCCGTCCAAAATATTCGAGTCCGTCAGCGTATAAACTTCGACCCCCAAAGGTCGTGTAGTAGCATGCATTTCACCGCTTCCATCCCATCCCCAATTGGACAGGTCACCTCCAGGGCACGTCGACAATGCACAGAGTAAATCGATCTCGGCGAAAAATTCAAAATAATCACCGGGCTTTGCTGGAGAAGCCCCCATACAGTATCTCCCGTTTTCATCAAGCTTGGTCACTTGGAATACATTGATCACGTCGTGCACATCGTATTCTGTGAGGCCATATGGCGCTATCGCACGGGTGAGATTCGAATGACAGTGGAAATCATCGGACTCTCCGCCCATTAGCAAATTGATATAGGGATCACAGCGGGTGCCCAGGCAATCGTGCACTCTGCCACCGAACTCGTCCACTCCATAACCCGCCAACGAATCACCCGTGATCGTGAGGAGGGGCCGCATAAAGGGCAGGCAGGACCAGAGGCGGTCATGCACCGAGACGTGGCTCTGATGGATCTGCCGGGTTCGAGTGGCCCAGAACCTCTCGCGGGGGTTATGCAAGTTCCAGATATTGAAATCGCCCACCTGCGGTCCCGCCGGAGTGGTGATTCGGCAGATCTGTCCGGCGCGGACCGTCCAGGCATGCCCGGCGCGTGGACGGATGGTGGCAGAGTATTCGAGGACCCGTCCGCCTGGTTTATCGGCCGTTTCAGCTATGCGATTGTAAAAGGCCTTGTCGGCATGGACCGAAGAACCTGCAGGCGCATCATACGCCGGCGTAGGGCGAATTGGGGCCATCGTCCTTGAGGTGGTCAGTGGGTGATTCTTCTGGCATGGTATCGACAAGGTTGCCAATATAGCGCTTCTTTACCTTTTCAAAGAGCCTTCTATGCCTAACAGTCTTTGTGATGGGCCTCAACTCTGGCGTTGAAGTGGACGGTTGCCGAATCGGGCTTTTAGGGCTCGAGATTAGGGTCCGGGCCCAGCCCGCTTAGTCAGCCAGAATCGAGCTCGGAATTTTTTGGCGCAAAAAGACGAAAGACGACGGCGACGAGGGTGAACGGCAGCTATCACTGCTCCTGCGCCGAACGGGTCGTTACATGATGGAGGATCAGGCAAATAAGCCCCATCGAAAGTCGAAGGACAAGGGCAAAAAGGCCAAAGACAAGAGTGGTATGGCCCTGCGTCGTCTCGTGGAATGCGACCATTTGCTAACGTCTTCCAGGCACGAATGTGAAGGCTTTCGCTGTTTCACGCCCCGGCCGTTCGCAAAGGCAGGCAGCTAGGTCCCATGATGTACGCTTTTTCCGTTGCCGATTCATGTGTTTGCGGAGCGACTTTCTAACCTTGATGCTGCCCTGTAGGTCAAGGAAAAGCGACTCCATGTCCCCCTCGTGGACCGCCTTCCCGAGGAGGCACCTCCGATCATTGTTGCGGTAGTGGGACCTCCGGGTGTACGTCTTCTACCCATGTGTGGTTGTTGAAATTTACCTCCGTGAACTGACCGCTCAATTTGCCGGATCATAGGTCGGAAAAACGACCCTGATCAAATCTTTAATCAAGCGCTACTCGAAGCATACGCTTAGCTCCCCTATCGGGCCGCTCACCGTCGTAACATCGAAGCGAAGAAGACTCACCTTCTTGGAGTGCCCGTCGGATTCGCTGGCAAGCATGATTGACGTTGCGAAAATCGCGGATATCGTGCTACTCATGATCGACGGCAATTTCGGTTTCGAGATGGAAACAATGGAGTTCCTAAACGCCCTATCGGCTAGTGGGATGCCGGGAAATGTGTTTGGGATTCTCACCCATCTGGATCTATTCAAGAAGCAAAGCACTTTACAACAAACGAAAAAACGACTAAAGCACAGATTTTGGAGCGAGCTATACCAGGGAGCGAAACTCTTCTACCTATCCGGCGTTATCAACGGACGATATCCTGACCGTGAGATTCATAATCTATCCAGATTCTTATCCGTGATGAAGAATCCTCGCCCCTTGATCTGGAGAAATTCGCATCCGTACTGTCTAGCAGATCGATTCTTGGATATCACTGCGCCGACCGCAATTGAAGAAAATTCAAAATGCGATAGGACCATTGCACTCTACGGGTATTTACGTGGTACGAACTTCCCAGCAATTGGCGCCAGAGTACACGTTCCCGGCGTAGGAGATTTGAGTGTGTCTTCGATCGAGGCACTGCCAGATCCATGCCCGACGCCGCACATGGACCAGGCAATTGCCAAGGCAACAGGTAAATCTGGTCGAAAGAGATTAGGTGAACAACAGAAGTTGCTTTTCGCGCCAATGTCCGATGTCGGCGGAGTCTTAGTCGATAAAGATGCTGTGTATATCGATGTCAAGACTGCTACGTTTAATAAAGAGGAAGACGACGAGGATGAAGAGAGAGGCCTTGGGGAGCAATTGGTTATAGGTTTGCAAGGGGAACGCAAACTCCTTGGCGAGACAGTCGCTGGCGTGAGACTTTTTAGAGACGCGGACGCTTTAATAGACGGGGGCGATGAGAAGGGCAGGAAAGAAAGAAGAAAAGAATCGGTTTATGAATGGTGAGGACAATGAAGAGGAAATGAATGATGAAG